TGTGTGTGTGTGTATTGATATGTTGATTTATTTATTAAATATGTCCTTTCCAATACAATTTTTTTTATTGTGCTATGATAACTCTCTCTCTCTCTCTCTCACTCTCTCTCTCTCTGTGTAAAATATATCGATTTAAATATTTAAAAACGTATTTCACACACACACACACACACACACACACACACACACAAACATTTGTTTTGCAAATTGTAAAAAAAAAAACTTCTGTTAAGGGGTGTTTTTATGTTAATAAATGTAAGGATAGCTTGTTTTTAAATGTTTTTTTAAATGCTATTTTTTATTGCCAAAGCATCACAAAAGCTATACACGTATATACATTATATACCAATTATAATAAATAAATTACACAAAATAATACAATACATCTCGACATAATAGGCCTACATCGCATTCTTTAACTAAACAAATGAAAAGGCAGCACAGATTTACCGTCTTAAGAGCTTTGTAGTTGATTGAAGATGAAATAGCTTGGATATATTGCTCCATATCTAGTAGACTCGCGTTTACCTCTGTTGTACCTGTTCAGCAGCAGCGACGTCACGCAGAGGGCGTGGCCTCCTCAACCTATGCGCGCACTGAGGTGTGAGGGACACTTGCAGACGCTGAATCACAGAGAAGGAAATGTGAACCAGTGTGACGCGACATCGGCTTTTTCCACCTGGTTTGAAACCGGGAAAGCGTGTGTCGATGGTCTTTACAGCGATTTTCAACTTGTGTGAACCACACGGAGCCTGAAGCACTTGAAGATGATGCTCAACTTTTTCCCCGTGCGGAAATTCAAGCGCAACGGCAGATACATTGTGTTCGGGGCGGTGCTGACTGTCGCGTTACTGGCGGTATATCTGGAGTTCATGGCCACGAGCGACGAGTGGAGCAGCACTGGTGAGTGACATCTGATGCTTTGTCACTAATTACTGGTTACTGATACATTCGTTATGCTAATGGTTACATATAAGGCCAAGTTATGGTGATGCTTTACAATAGGGGTCAATTTATTAACTTTATTTAATTGACCATGTATCACGAGCGGACCATGAACAGCATTCTTACAGCATTTAATGGACTAGGTAATGATTCCCAAACTTTCTGTCAGCCGAACCTATTTGACCTAAAAGTTTACGGTTTCTGATCTCGGTTAATGGTCACATGTGTCATGTGACCATTAAAGGTAAACAAAAAAATCTAATCTTTTTTTTTTTAATGTTTTATTTTTGTATTGTACTTGTTTTTATATTTATTAATAATATTAATATATTATTTATTTTTATTAACAGACTAACAATCAAGAAAATCAATCACGTCTGGTGGTTCTTGGCCTCCACGTCTTGCATTTAAAATCCTTTAAAGGGGTCATATGATGCTTTTTTAAAGATCATTATTTTGTGTATTTGGTGTAACAGAATATG